GTGCACCTCCATGTTTATTGCAGCACTGTTCACAATAGCTAGGATATGGAAACAACCCAGATGCCCCACCACAGATGAATGGTTCCAAAAATTGTGGTATCTATACACAATGGAATATTATGCAGCCATTAGAAACAACAAAATAATGGCATTTGCGGGGAAATGGATGGAGCTAGAAGAAATCATGTTGAGCGAGGTAAGCCAAGAGCAAAGAGACAAACTGTATCGCAAAGCTCATAGAACTCATAAATGTTACAGACCTTGAGAGGCAATTTGCTCCAGGAAAGTTAGAATGTGTTTGTGACTTTAACTGAGCATCACTATCCCACACTACTGTGAAATTTGGGAAATTATGTAACCACTTAATCACAATAAAACATTTGAAGGAAAAAAAAAAAGCACACACACAAAAAGGTGCCCAAGCCCAAAGAGATGTTTGGAAAGAAGTGACAACTAAAGTCAGTGCCTGATGCTGGCATTCATCTTCAAACAGGACATGCTTCACCTTTTTAATATTCATTTTTGCTAAAGTGTACCCTAATTGTTCAAAGGGAAGATACTGTGGCCTTTCACACATGAGTGTAGAGGACTTGAGTTGGATCAACCCTCCACCTACTCCCCCCTCTCCGTCTCCACTGCCCCACGATGTAACAGCTTCCAGTGAGTTTCCTTTGGCCATTTACATTTATAGGTGTCCTGTGTTTTGGTACCATTCACCCTGTAATGTTTTCCCCTGCCCTTCTATTCCCTCCAAACATTCTTTGTTAGTGTGTTGGCACAGGGCTTGCACTCAAGAGTCTTGTGCTCTTGCTGGGCTTTTTGTTTGCTCATGGCTGACACTCTACCACTTGAGCCACAGTGGAGGTAATTGTTTCATGGATTTTCCTGCCTTGAGCTGGTTTCCTCAGATCTCAGCTTCCTGAGTAGCTAGGCCCAGCTCAGGATTTTTTTTTTAAAATGAAGCCTCTGGAGTGAAGATTTCAATGAAGCAAATTACCACATTGCTGCTTTCTAGATATGGGATCTGGGGCAGGTTACTTCACCTTTCTGGGCCTGAGCTTTCCCACCAGTATATGGGGGAGCTTGTCAGTGCTGCTCCAAGAGGTAGTTTTCAAAACAGGAGAAAAAAAAACCACCAAGTGTCATTTAATGCACAAAAAGCTCCTATATAGTAGAGCTCAGTAAGTACCTATGACTATTTTTAAAAGGGTTGTACTATCTGAGACCTCCCAGCATCATTGATCAGTGACCCTGACTCCTTCCAGGATTTCTGGGTTCCAATGCTCAGCCTTTTGCAAAACAAGAAGGGAAAGCTACCAGCGGTTTCAATTTAGGGCCATGGGGATCCATCCTTCATGTCCTACTTTTTTCTTTTTCTTTTTTGCCAGTCATGGGGCTTGAACTCTGGGCCTGGGCGCTGTCCCTCAGCTCTTCAGCTCAAGGCTAGTGCTCTACCACTTGAGCCACAGCACCACTTCTAGCTTTTTCTGTCTATGTGGTGCTGAAGAATTGAACTCAGGGCCTCATGCATGCGAGGCAAGCCCTGTATCGCTGAGCCACTCCTGCTTCTTCTGAGGAAAACCAAAACAAAAACACCTTGCTTGGGGCTTGGGGACATGTGGACCCAGGTCTAGATTCCCCATGAGGTCCTCAGATGTGCAACGAGTCTCCTTGGCAGGCAGGAGGGTGGCAGGGTCCTCTGATTCTCACTGGTCCCCACCACTCCTTTGAGAGGTGAGGGAGGCCAGGGCAAAGGGGCGGGGGGCAATGCCAGCACTACAGGACAGAGCCAGGCCTGGAACCCAGGCAGGCCTCCAGCTCCATGCTCTCTGTACCCAGAAGCCTGGGTGGCGTATGAGTACCACTCACTTCTCGGAGGTAACAGATTTCTATGAATTCAAGACCACAAGGCACACGTCTCACATTGAAGCAACCTTTGAAGACCGTCTCCATCACCTTTTCCTGTTCACACTCCTGAACACTCCTTGATAAAGAAATCTACTCCATACAGCAGTTTCTACATTGTTCCAAAGAGCTGGGGGATGCTCACTCGGTTCCCACTTTAAATAGGATTGGTACCATAGAAACAAACCTTAAATGGCATTTCAAAATGGATATATTTAAAGTCTAGCACATGTAGTTTTTCTAGGACAGTGACATGATGCAGTGGCACATGGCTTGTTCTCATTCTGAAGTTCGTTACAAAAATACCGTTGGGTGTCCTGAACTTGGCAGAAATGAAAACCCAGATCGACCGAGATAATCAAGTTTGATTTCCCTCTATCCATTTCTGACCGAAGGTTTCTACTTCTCTTTGGGAAGGCTGTCCATATTTAGGAAGTTGGGATGTGAGGTTCTGCAGGCCTCTGGCACTGTCAGTGAGGTAGGCATTCTCAAAAACACTGAGACATGCTGGGTGCTGGTGGCCCATGCCTGTAACACTAGCTACTTTGGAGGTTGAAAAAGAGAGGATCAAGGTTTGAGGTCAGACCAGGTAAATGTTAGTGAGACAACCCTCCCCCCTTTCAATCTATAGTTGTGTGCAGTGGTATATGCCTGTCACCTCAAGCTTTATGAGAGGCTGACACCAGCAAGCCAAAAGCAGGCCAGTCTGGGGGGAGCAGCCCTGGAGACTCCACCTCCATGGAGGGGAGCTAGGTATGGTAATGTGCTCTGAGTCACTATAAGCTTAAAACTAGGTGAACCAAGACTTGGGCACCCTCCTGGCCGGAATTGTGTGTTTGTGTGTCTATGTGCTGGTTCTGGGCCTTGAACTCAGGCCTGGTCACTGTCTTGACTTTTTTCCCTTGGGTGTGGGGCTTTGAACTCAGGGCCTGGATGTTGTCCCTGAGCCTCTTTGTGTTCAGGGCTAGCATTCTACCATTTGAGCCACAGCACCACTTCCAGCTTTTGAGTGCTTAATCGGAGGCAAGAGTCTCATGGACTTCAAACCACGATCCCCGGATCTCAGCCTCCTGAGTAGTTAGGATTGCAGCTGTGATTCACCAGCACCCAGCCATCCCTGAGTTTTTGTGTTCAATACTAGCACTCTACCCATTAAACCACAGCTCTTTTTCTGGCCTTTCAGTGGTTAATTGGAGATAAGAAACTCACAGGCTTCCCTGCCTGGGCTGGCTCTGAAGTATGTTCCTCAGGTCTCAGCCTCCTCATTAGCTAGGATTGCAGGAGAGAGTCACCAGCACCTGGCTTATCACCAAATTCTTAAAGGGACAGTGGCAAACTAAGATTGGTAATTACTGACTCATGGGTAAAACAGAGCCTCAGTATCAAACCCAAGTCACCATGTCAGAAAAGGGCGACAGAGTTCCCAGGCTGAGGGAGCGCGTGTCACCTGCTGGCCCGTCCCAATACACCTGTGAATTTTATTTTACTTTTTCCAATCATGGGGCTTGAACTTTGGGTCTGGTCACTGTCCCTGAGCTCTTTTTGCTCCAGGCTAGTTTCCTACCACTTTGGGCCAAAGCACCAATTCTGGTTTGCTGGTGGTACAGCAGGTAAGTCTCACAGACTTTCCTGCCCAGGCTGGCTTTGAACTGTGGTCTTCTTGAGTAGCTAGGATGACAGGCACGCGGCTCCACCTGTGAGATTTTAATGTCCTTGTTGTTCACGTGTAAAGATGGGGGTCTCAGATCTCCAGTCACAAGCAGGCCAGCCTGACTCCAAAGCTCATGCGTGCCCAGGTTACCAGAAGTCACAGCGTTCCCCAAAGGCCACATCTTAGCTCCAGGAAAGAGGGTGCAGCCAATCTCAGCCCTTCCAGATCCAAAGCTGTCCCAGGCGTGGTGGGACCCTACAGGAATGTCCATGCAGCAATCCCAGGGGGTCCAAACCCCACATGGCCTTTGATGGGCTCCAGGGAGGCGGCCTCACACCTACTGCGATGTCTTCCCAAGTAGCAGTGACTTAGAGCCACTGTCTGGAGTCTCCCAGGCCAGCAGCTGGTGACAGTGTGACATGGGGGTGCCCCGGGCCACACGGATGTCTAGCAGGGTGGGTGACTGAGGTCAGCCCTGTGCTTGTCAGCATGACCACCCTCCAGCCAAGTGGACATGGAGACCCAGCTGCGCCTCCTAGCAGCACTTCTTCCTTGCTGGCACACACGCTCCAAGGACACGGAAGCCAGTGGACCCCGAGCCTGTTTCTTCAGCTATTTCACTCCATCTCTCCCTCTACTGCAGTATGGAGCCTTGTACCCAGCAGCCCCTGCGGGTCACCTCGGGGACAGCCCCACAGGAGCTCAGTGCTTTCCAGGCTCTGCCTGGAACGTGACAATATTCAATGTGGAAAAACAACACCCCAAAACCCTGTGCGCAGGAAGACACAGAAAAGTGAGCCTCACTTTACTTTATTCAAATAATTTCTTTCTTTCTGTGAAATAAAACAGAATTGGGCAGCAATCAAAGGAACAGAGAAAGCCTCTTATATTAAATTCTGATAAGACTCTTTAAGTTCCAAGCCAGGATGATCAGGCCCAGGGTGCAGGCCTGAGCCCAGCACACAAAGCCACCGAGGAGGTCTTTAAATTAAGGAGGAAGGCAAATCCCTTTCTGAAAAACAAGTTCCTGAGGGGGGAAAATAGAAAACTTGTAAGTTTCAAAAGCCAGACGTCCTCCACCCCCCTGTGGAGGGTCCGAGAGAAAGGTGGCCAGGAAAGTTTTCAATGATTCCACTTTTGCAAACATATGCAAATACATTCCTCATTAGCAGTCCTGTTTTGGCAATTAATAGCAAGCAATATGCTTGGATTAGAGGTCCGAGTCGTGCTCGAAGGGGGCTGGGGGTGGGGGGGCAGCTTCTCTTCCAGGCCACAAAGCGGTCTGCGGAGACCTGAAAGGAGGAAGGCTGCATGAGGCCCAGAGACGCGACTCAGAAATAGAGCTCCGCTATTTCCATGCACGGTGGCAGAACGCGCCGTCTTCATCCACCCCGAGAAACACGCATCTGTGCCTTACATGCACACCCCAGATGGCTGCAGAGGCTTTTAGCTTAAAAATATTCCTTAGGTTTTTAACGCTTATCTCAACCTGCATCTACCCAACCTCAAAAATCCACTTTTCTTACTGAAGACCCATAGGCAGTGATTCTGTGAGACAAGCTGGCGAGCCGCCAGGAACCTCGGTTCTAGGCCAGTTCTGTGCCAGGCTCGGCTGAGGCACCCTCTGTGGGGTGCATTTAAATAGTCCCGCCAGGAAACAAGCAGGCGCTGTCGATGGCAAGGCCCTGGATGGATCTTCAGGAATTGGCAAGGGAGGGAGAGAGGACAGAGGTGGGAGAAACACGCAGAAAGGGCGTTTCTAGGTTGAGGGTTCATTGTGTTGTTTTATGCCAGTCCTGAAACTTGAGCTCGGGGCCTGGATGCTTAAGGCTAGCACTCTACCACTTGTACTACAGCTCCATTTCAGGCTTTTTGGTGATTAATTGGAGATAGGAGTCTTAGGGATTTTTCTACCCTGGCTGGCTTCAAACTACAATCCTCAGATCTCAACCCTCTCAGTAACTAAGCTATGAGCCACCAGCACCTGGCTAAACCTGGAGTTCAGGCTGGGAATGTGGGTTAGAGGTAGAGTGCTTGCCTAGCATGCATGATGCCCAGGGTTTGATTCCTCAGTACCACATAAACAGGAAAAGCCGGAAGTGGTGCTGTGGCTCAAGTGATAGAGTGCTAGCCTTGAGCAAAAGAAACTCAGGGACAGTGCCAGGCCCTGAGTTCAAGCCCCAGGACTGGCAAAAATTAAACCTGGAGCTCTTCTATTTTGGAATTTACAGGTTGAAAATCTCTTTCCCTACCCCTGAGCCAAACATGGAGGGGGATAAACGCACTTCAAATTATTTGCTGGGGTGATGTCCAGGAGATGCAGTGAGGGGATCTGTGGATCCTGGCTGTGTGATCTTGGACAGTGTAAGGCCTTCTCTGTGCTTTGGCTTTCTCCTCTGTAAGTAACAGGACAATGTCCCCTGCCTCTCCGGTTAAGTGAGGGACACCAAGGACCTGTCTTGAGGCCTTGGCTGCTACTCTCATAACAGAAAAGCTGTGGCTATTATTAGAACACGAACTGACTTGAACCAAAGCTGCTGCTGTCTGTGGAATGGACCAGCAGGCAGCATTCTTGACCCCAGAACCTCCTGGCATCCCCCGGCCCCTGCCATCCCTGGGGTCTTGCCTTGCCTAAAACCATGGCTGGACAAAGCTTTTGGCCAGCTGGGCCTCTGTTCCTGCCCACCTCCCCCTCCCCGAGATGTAGAGCTGGGACAGGGAACCTCCAGCTCCCTAAGCAGCATCCCCAGCCAGCCACCATGGAAACAAACCTCCAAGGGCAGGTCAGCCCACCTGGTGGACACCTCCCCAGGGACAGCAAAGGACCAGCAGGTTGGGAAGGGAGATCTCAGCCCCCGGGCTTGGGACCAGAAGAAACCCCAAGGCAGCGGGGGCTTACCTGGAAATCATGAGCTTCCAAGGGGGGTTGAGGTGCTATTTTGGTTCACCTGAAGGGACACACAGACAGAGGAAGGGGTAAGGCCAGGTGCCGGGTGCCAGGGTCTTAGGGAGGCTGAGTCAGGCCATCCCTGTCACAGCACGGCGGGCAGGTGGCCAGAGCTTAGCACAATGCCCCCTGCCTGTGCTCAAGGCCTGACCTTGCTGATAAGGACACAGAAGCTGGACCAGGGCCACCTGGTTCCTGTCCCTGGCACACAGAACCTATCATCTCCAGATCTCTGAAGTCTTTAAGAATGTCTTTTGTGTGTGTGTGTGTGTGTGTACTGAGGGAAGAAGGGGGGAGAAGAGAGAATGCCCAGCAGCTGTGGGCTGCGGTGGGCATCAGGAAGAACAAGGCAGGGGGAGGGTGAACAGAAGGGTCTATGGGGGCGAACAGGATCTGACTACTTCATTGGCATATACAAAAATGGAATAATGAGAGGCTGGGAATGTGGCTCAGTGGGAGAGTGCTTACCTAGCATGCATGAAGCCCTGGGTTCAATACCTCAGCACCACATACACAGATAAAGAGCTGTGGCTCAAGTGATGAAGTGCTAGCCTTGAGCAAACAGAGAAGTTCAGGGGCAGTGCCCAGGCCCTGAGTGCAAGCCCCAGGACTGGAGCAAAATGGAATAATGAGACCCATTAGAAACAGTTTGATAAAGGGGTGGGGGGAGGTGAGAGTAACAGAGGGGAAATTTGATCAAAGTACTTTCTATGCATGAGCCCTCTTTGTATACACTGAGAAAGGGGGAGAAAGGGAGAGGAAGATGGAGAGGGGGCCAGACAGACAGAGACGAAGACAGGTAGAACTCAAGGGTAGAGAGACTTCATGGCGCTCAAGCAGCACATGGAGGATTGGCTCAGGCAGAGGGTGGCTAGACCTCCACAGGATGACACCCTGCGAGGCACTCTGGCCTGACACCTCCTCCTCCCCCCTCCCCCTCCCCCCCCCGCCCCTGTTCATAATGGAAATCGGCCAGCTCCATCTGACTTGAGCCGCAAAGAGTCCCACACACAGACAGTGAGCTAGCAGCCCAGCCAGGGAAACCATACTGCAGAAGGGCCCTGGGCTTCAAACCTGAAAAGTTCCTTTCAGATTGGCTGGTGTCTTATAATCTCCTTTCAAGACCTAGGAGAGAGAAAGAAATATCACCACTGTGCAAATAACCAAAAGTTGAACTTTAATCCATCACTGATGGCACATCTACCCGTCCACCCACCTATCCCATGCATTAATCCTTCCTCCCTCCCTTCCTCCCTCCCTCCCTTCTTGTGTTTATTAAGCTCTTCTTATTCCACTGAGTAGCCACATTAACCAGATCAGTGAATTCTTGTTCTCAAGCACAACAAACACAAAAGGGAGATGGCAGAACAAAGGGTATGACCGGGGTGGCCAGAAGTGGCCAGGAAAGGCCACCTGGATGGCAAGGGAAAGCAGCCAGGCTGAGGAAACAGGAAGAGCAAAGGCCCTGAGGCCCTGAGCTACATTTAATGTACTTTATAGTCTTTTTTTGTCGGTTGTGGATCTTGAACTCTGGGCCTGGGCGCTGTCCCTCAGCTTTTCAGATCAAGGCGAGCGCTCTACCACTTGAGCCACAGCGCCACTTCTCCTGAGCCACATTTAAAAACTAATGAAACAGGGGAGACTAATGCCCAAGATGCCAAAAATATGGGCAAATTCAACTGACAATGACAAATCTCACTTTTTTTGTCCTAAAATGTCCAGATCCAGTGTGTAATTCAACTCACAGAGAGTGGGACCACCAAAAACATGGAATTGGAGCTGTGGCTCAAGTGGTGAAGCACCCTTTGCGCGCGCGCGCGTGTGTGTGCGTGCGCGTGTGTGCGCGCACGCACACCCCCATCTTGGGGCTTGAACTCAGGGCCAGAGCACTGTCCCTGAGCTTTTATGCTCAAGGTTAGTGCTCTACCACTTGAGCCACAGCCCCACTTCCATGTTTTTGGTGGTTCACTGGAAATAAAGTTTCATGGACTAGCTGGGCCAGCTTTGAACTGAGATCCTCAGGTCTCAATCTCCAGAGTGGCTAGGGCTCCAGGCATAAGCCACAGCACCCAGCTTTCTTTGTTTTTGTCTGGGGGCCCTGGGTGCATTGTGCAAGTTCACTGGGCCCTTTAATCACTTGAGGTCCATCCTTTACATGCATGAGCCACCGGCTCCCAGCTCTTAAGAATTATCCTGCCAGCTCCAGTCACATGTTTGAGAAGTGACTGTTAAACCTTATATAGTAAGAAGGGGACCCAACCCACATTTATCTATGCCCCTCATCATCAAAGGCTTCCCCAGCTCTGGAAACAGGCAGGCCAAAGGAAGAGTGAAAGAGTGGATGTAAGATACATGTGTGCATAAACAGACCTGCCTCAGCCATCAGAGCATAAGAGAGTAGGTCACCATGAGCTTTGAGCTTCCTAGTAGCCCGAGCAAAAATGGAAATACAAGCAGCTCTTCCATTCACACGTCTGTCACCTAGGCACCAGTCAGATCCTCGGGGACGCTGGCTCCCGTCCCACCAGCACCGAGAGTGCACTGCTGTCCACGCTTAAGTCGGCTCACCCGGTGGGTGTTGTTGATGACAATGGGGTCCGGGTTGCCGTAGTTGGGAGGATTCGCATATGGGTCATAGCCGAGCCGGGCCAGCATGGGGGCGATCTGAGCCATGTCCCTCACCACGTCCCCAGGGATGTGGCCAGTCCACTTAGACAGGGCTTCCAGATTCACGGGCTTGATCACCTGGTCTGTGGACCTCTCGATCCTGGGGAGACAGAACTGTGGTCAGCACTCGGGGGTGGCAGGCCATGGGGGGGGGCTGACCTCAGGCCGCCCTGCCCTGTGGTGGGACCACATGGCACCTCTGTGTGGTGCAGTGAGCAGCCCGACAGGGCCGGGGGAAAGAGAAGCATGAGCCACACATGCCGTGGTGACTCGACTCCCCCTGCTCCATGTCTCTGAATCTTTCAAAATAACCCTTTATGCTTATGGCTAATGGAGATTTTTGTCCTTGGGCAGGAATGTGGAAGTGAGTGGTAAAGTGACTGGTCTGATGCTCATCTGCCTCCCGCACACCTGGTCCTGGTGACCGGGATGCACCCTTCAATCCCTTCTCCCAGCTTTCCAGCGCCACAGCGGTTGAGGGCTGACTCCCGAGACCAGACGCCTGGGTTCAAGTGCAGCCGTGCCCAATCTGGCTGGGAGGCCTTCGCAGACCTAACTTGCCTCTTAACTCACCCTTGAGCAGAGAAAATAACAGTAAAGAAAACCACAAGCCTGCTCCCAGGAGTAAATGGGTTACTGCAAAGAAAGTGTTTGGTAGAGTGCGTGGTCCTCGCTAAGCGTTAGCTCTGTCCCTGACTCACACACGTACACACACAGACAAAATTTTTGATTGGGGATGGGGAGCAGGTATGGTAGCATACACCTGTAGTTTCAGCCACACAGGAAGCATAGGTAGGAGGGCCAAGGTTTGAGGCTGGCCCAGAACAAAAGCACGAGACCCTCTCTGAAATATAAACTAAAGTTAAAATAAAGGGGGTAGGAGGCTGGGACATGACTAAAGTGGTAGAGTCCCTAGCAAGATCCTAAATTCAAACCTCAGGACCACCAAAAGGAAACCAAAGAAAATCTGTTTCTGTTTTTAAAACAAATAGTACACTAAATGTATTGACCTACGACTTTCCCCCCATCCTACTCGATGCTTGGCTCTTTGTATGAGCTGAGTAGCACTGCATAGCACAATGAAGTTTATTTTTCTGTGTGGTCGGGAGATGAAGGCTTAGGTTGTTTTCAGTGTTCCACAACCATCCCTCTCCGGGCTACTGGCACACCACGCCATCGGAACCATGAGGATCCCACCACTGGTACCCGAGGGTGGGAGCCCAGGATCAGGAGCAGATTTCTAGATGCTTCCATCACTACTAAGAGATGACATGGGAAGCAAAGTACAAAGGGGCCACACACAAAGTAAAAAGAGGCCATACACCTCCCCTTTACTGGTCCAACAACACCCCAGTGTTATCAACAGACCCTGAGAAGGACTAGCGGGGGACAGCAGAGATTGGGGGAGAGGGGGGATTAAAGGCTGTCTCTCAGTTCCTGTTTACTGTGTTTCCCCAACTGTCTACAATAAAGACATAGTTTTTTGGGAACCTGATGGGGTTTTGTTTGTTTGTTTTTGTCTTAATTCTATACAATATCCCAGCTCCAAATGCCAGGACTGGTGGCTCATACCTGTAATTCTGACTACTTGGGAGGTAGAAGCGGAAGGCTTGAAGATTGAGACTAGTCTGGGCAAAATATTAGTGAAACCCTATCTGAAAGCACAAGGCCTGGGGCGTGGCTGGGCAGTAGGGGGCGTGGCTTAAGCACGGAGCAAAGCACTTGTCTAGCAAGTGCAAGGTCCTGAGTTCAGTGGGCAGAGCTGGCCAGGGGCCTCCCCTGTGCTCAAACGTCTACAGTTGTGGGGGCTCTGCCTGGCAGGGTCTGGCTGAGGAGAGGGAGCGGGAGAGGCCATGTTTCTGGTCCCCTGGCAGCAAGGAGATGGCTGTCTAATATTCCACCACAGAGATGACAGGAGCTCACTGACGTCCCGAGGACCTGGGATCAAATCCTAACAACTCACTTGTCAGCTGTGTGGCCTTAGGCCTGTGCCTTCTCTCTTTAGGGATGACTTGCTTCATCTTTAAGAGAAGGACTGGAGAGGCTGCCAGGCCCCTCGCAGACAGCCATGGGGATTCGAGGAGGGGGTGTCTGTCAAGGGCTTGACCCCAAGCCGGCCACGGGACAGCACCTGAGTTCTTTTGGTGCACTTAGCACTTACTGCTGAGGACTGCAATGACAACGCCTAACACTGGGGCGAGCTGTAGCTTCCAGCTGCAGCCTCACGAACCTAAGCACAGAGAGGCTGATGATTTGCTATAGGCCGCCCAGCTAGGAGATGGCACAACCCGGACAGCCTGGCCCTGGAATCTGTGTACTGCAGTTAACCATCGCCCCCTCCTGCCCTCCAGCAAAGCATGTCCCAAGTCCACTGGTTCTATGGGAAAGCACAGGCGGTGCTGCCCGCCCCCTACTCCGTGCCCAGGTCAGGTGGCAAACACCAACTCTGCAAGGCTTTGCTCCTAACCACATTCCCCGTCCCTGAGCGTCTGCATTTGGACGAAGTACACCCAAGCTCAGAGAGGTACAGAAACTCGCCCAAGCCTACACAGCCCATCTTCAGCTGTGGGTGGGAGGTGGCCTGAGGCGTGCGCACGCGCACAGGGCGATGCTCCCGTCCCGGGATGCATGCGTGCGCGTGTACACGGACGTCCCACGCTCACCTGGACAGGAAAATGGGAAGGAGGAACGCCCGCAAGCACGGACACGCGCAAGAGGCCAGGGCACGGATGCGTACAGAAGCCCGCACTCACTTGAACAGGAAGATGGGGGTGTGTGTGGAAAGAAAGCACACACGCGTGCGCATACACACCCATCTGCACCGACTTGGGGGGAGGGGGCATGGCAGGACCCACACACGCATGCGCACACAGTCCCACTGGCACCCACTTGGACGGGGGTGGCAGGCCGCAGGCACGCACGCGCACCCCGCCCGCCCGCACGGACGCCCGCACGCATGCGCACCCCGCCCGCGCGCACTCACTTGGACAGGGAGATGCCCCCGGGCTTGCCGATGAGCTCCTCGTGGTGCAGGACGGCGTCGCTCCAGGCGATGCCCAGGAAGTCGAGGATGCGCTGCAGGGAGCGGCGCGGGTGCAGCACCAGCTGCTCGTAGTAGACGGGCAGGCACTTGTCCCGGCCCACCTCCAGGCACTGCGCGTACATCACCTCGATGGCGCGGTTCCACTTGGTGAGGCAGTCGCGGTAGCTGCTGAGGTCGAAGCCGGCGATGGTGACCTTGCGCGTGATCATGGAGTGCACGGAGGCGCGGCCGTCCCGCACCATCAGCAGGAACTTGGCGTTGGGGAAGAGGCGCGCCAGGTAGACGGAGGACTTGAGCGTGAAGGGGTCCTTGTTGCACAGCACGCGCGCCGGCTCGCCGTGCTTGGCGATCACCTCCAGCAGGAAGGCCTGCATGGCGGCGTCCAGCACCTCGTCCGTCACGCCCGCCTCGTCCAGCCGCAGCTTCTCGCGGCCGGACTTGGCCCAGGCCTGGCGCATGGCCAGCAGGCGCGGGATGATGCGGGTCTCCTCCCCGCAGCGCACGGCCGGGTGCGCGTCCAGCATCACGCGCATCAGCGTGGTCCCGCTGCGGGGCACGCCGCCCACGAAGACCAGCGGCGTGGACCGGCTGTAGCGGTACTCGGCGCGGTCGGCGCCCAGCACCACCAGCTCCTCCTGCTCCGGCCGCATGGCCCGCCGCGGGCCGCCCGGCGCCCCGCACAGCAGCGCCCGCGGCCCGAGGAGCCGCGCCGCCAGCACCAGCGCCAGCGCGCAGCCCGCCAGCAGCAGCGCCCGGCGCACCGACAGGCGCATGCCGGGCCGGGGGCGGCGCGGGCCCGGCCGGGGGCCCCGCTTCAGCGGCAGGGGCTCGCGTCTGGGGAGAGAGGTGGACACGGAGGGGGGGGCCTGGGTCAGGGAGGGCCGGCTGCCCGCGACCCCGGTGCCAGGCACCTGGCACCTGCTGGCCCACTGCGGGGGCCCAGCTGTCTGTCCTCCCCGGACAACTCAGGCCTGGCAGTCTGGGTCCAGCCCAGTTAACTGTGTGGCCACCCCCGATGGGCTGCTGGACCATAGCCAGACCCTCAACCCCCAGCGAGGCCTCCACCATCTCCTGCCATCAATGACCTAACGTTTACTCTAACATTCACAGACCAAGGGTGGGAAATGGAGCCGGGCGCCGGTGGATCAGGAATCCTAGCTACTCAGGAAGCTGAGTTCGGTTCAAAGCCAGTGGGGAGAGGGAGGGGGTTAAGTCCGTGAGACCCTTATCTCCAATAAGCTATTCAGAAAAAGCCGTAAGTGACGCTGTGGCTCAAGTGGTAGAGCGCTAGCCTTGAGCACACAGAAGCTCAGGGATAGCACTCAGGCTAAGTTTAAGCTCCAGGACCAGCAAAAGAATAAAGAAAGAAAAAGTGGGATGCTGCACTGGGTGAAGGAGCCCCCCCAATGAACCTCAGCAGGAGGCTGACTTCCAGAGCATCACAGTACCAGATGGACCCGGGCAGGAAGTCCATGCGACCTCCCTTCTCAGTGGTAGGTGGGCATGGTGGTGCATGCCTATCGTCCCAGCCACCTGGAAACTGTACATAAAGGACTGAGGCCCAACCTGGCTAGAGCATAAAGCAAGGTCCTAATCTCAAATATAACTAAAGCAGAAAAAAAAAGTGTGTGTGTGTGTGTGTCTCTATCCAAAGGCCCCGAGTTCAATTCCTGTACAGCCACACTCCAAAAGAATGGGCTGTAATCCTGGGGAAGATGATGCGGCCACTGCACAGGACAGGGGGGTTTGCTGCCCTCACCGGCGCTCAGTACATGGTTGCAGATGCATGAATGAGCAGGGGCTGACTCCAAGAGCTGGGAAATCATCCCTGGGGGTGGGGGGGACTGAGTCACAGGCTGAAGCCCAGTCAAGGCCAAGAAGGAAGGCCAGGCCAGTGCCCTGGGGTCAGAGGGTTCTGGGAGGGGCGGGAAGCCGGGCTGTATCTCAACCTGGGGTCAGTGGCCAGTCCGAGCATCGGAGCGAGCCAGGGGTCTCTGGAAAACACACCTGGGCAGTTGTGCTGTCAGTACTTGGGGCTTACGGACACCCCCGACCCCAGGTCTGTGACAGGGAAGGCCCGCTCCAGGACACTTTTAGAAGGGAGGCAGGCAGGCCAGGACACAAAGCCACACAGCCTGAGCTTTTTTAAGTGCTGCCTGAAACTTCCCTCCTTGGACTCAAGACTGAAATTGTGCCAGTTACTATGAGCTGAGTTTGAAGTCCCCTGTGGAGCTGCCAATCACACTTTAGCTAGAATTAGAATAATCACCCTTTTGGGTGAACAGATGGAGATGAGGAATAATTTCGAAATGAAGAGTTGCTTCCAGAAAGTGTGTGTGTGTGTGTGTGTGTGTGTGTGTATGTGTATGTGCACAGGGAGGTGGGGGGAGGGGTAATGGGGTACATGCCAGGGTGTGTGAGGGTGGTGTGTGTGTGTGTACTCATGAGTCTGTTTGTGGCTGGTGCAGGGGTTGGGCAGATGAGGACATATGGGGGGGGGGGGGGGGTGGGTGGTCAGTCACTGGGCTTCGGTGGGTCCTGAGTTCTGCATTTTCACACTTGCAGAGCACTCACTCTGCCGAAGTGTTTCCATATATTATCCGAGCAACTTGCCCAAGGTTGCGCAGCCCGAAGGGCAGGCCTTGATGGGCCACGGTCATCATCCACCCTCCATTCCCAAGGCCCAAGGAGGAGCAGAGGCCTCAGTACCCCGTGGTGGGGGCAGCCGCGGCTTTCCAACCGGCTGGCTGCACAGAGCAAGGTGCAGCCAGGGAGCCGCGCAGCCATGCTAGAAGCCAGGGGCCTCCATCCAGGAGGTGCCTTACCTTCCCTGGGCACTCTCATGTCGGGCCTCCAGCTGCCGGGCTTGCTCAGGGAGGGCTGCTGCTGCTGCCACCACCCTGCGGAAGGAAGGAGGCCTGTGTGAGGGAGGAGCGCTGGGGAGGGCGGCTGCCCTCACAGGCAGAAGGCTTCGGCTGCAGTAAGCGCCCTCACCATCGCCACCCGGGCCTGCTGGGCCCAGCCGGTCAGGCTGTGCCCTGGGCGCCAGGAACTGGGGCGACAGTGTGTATGGCGCTCCTTGGAACTGGACGGAGCTCTGCCCCCGAGGGAGATGCCAGGGAGGAGGAGCCCTGGGTCCAGACTCTCACAGACCCACCTCCCCACCCCGCCCAGGACATGCAACGCCCGTTCCTCCCCCTGGGGTTACAGGACAGGGCTGGCCTGTAGCTAGGACCTGGCCAAGATGGCAGCACGGGGTGCTGGTGGATGGAAGGCCGGGCAGACTCACTCAGTGGGGGTGGCCTCCCACTCACCGTTGAGGGGAAATCAGGGCAGGGAACAGAGCTGAGCGTGCAGCTGGACTTCCTCCCCTGTCCTGCTGGGGGCGCCCTGGGCATGGGCAGCTCCCTTCAGACAGAGTTGTGCTCCTGGGAGCCTCAGTTTCTCCATTCTGAAGAAAGGGCTGTAAGGCATTTGCCGGCATCACGGGGGATGGACGCAGCGACCACTGTCCTCAGCCTCCCTTCGCTCACTCCTTACCTTGGTGTTTGCCTACTCCTAAAACTCCAGGCTCCATCCCAAGCCCAGACACCCAACGGTAACCACAGCAACCAGCCCCATCCCCCAGCAGGTGTAACCTTAGCAACATCCCCCACCCACCCCTCACCCAAACTCCAGAATCCTCAGGTATGGCTGTGAACCTGCCCAGGTCTACCCACCGGGAACAACCAGGCCAGGGCGCTGGCAGCGCTCCCCAGAACAGGCTGGCTCAGGCCCAGGTGACCTCGGGCAGCCCTTGAAATGCCAGTGAGCGCAGAGCCTGCCAGCCCGGCAGCTCCCACGGTCACAGTGAGGGCCAGGCCCCTCCAGGGAACAGCGGCCCTTTGAGAGGCGTGGGAAGGAGCCTTGAGGGCCCTGGTCTCTTGGCTTAGGGAAATGTGAAGCTCAAAGAGAACAAAATGTAAGACTCCTTCCGTCCATACCGGCGGCTGCTACATTGGGGCTGGGCTGACCACAGGGAGGAAAGAGGCTGGATACAACGATGGCACACGACTGTCCTGCTTGTGCAGGGCCTCTCCTGCCTGCCTTCCCTGGACGCCAGTGGACAGCTCGCTCCAGCCGAGACCCTGGACGTAGGGCTCTCAGTCACCTAGAGGTTGTGCAGAGTGCAGGTTCCAGGCCACGCCACGTGTTTCCACATGCAAGGCCTGGGCAGCCGTGGCAGAGGTGGGGCGTCCAGGAGACCCCTCCCCGTGCAGTCCGAGGGACAGCCGTCCGTGACATCGAGGGAGAAAGGAGGAGGGCAGTGCAGCAGGGACCACAGAGACGGAGGCCTGCCAGCATCCCTGGGACGGTCGCCATGGCGACAAGCTCACAGACCTCCACCCAGGAACGTTCCATCACCGCCTAACTCGGCCGAGAGGAGCATCAGCAACGTGGCAGCTGTCGAGCCCCACTGGGTGCCCTGCCCGGCACCCAAGGCTGTGGGTGCCCTGCCTCCCTGTGTCCACACACCCGCCGTGGGGCGGCAGCACACCTCATCCAGCCCCTGCTCTCGGCAGGCGGAGAGGGAAGAATGCTGCTCTATTCGAGAAAGCTGCTTACATCCAGACTGTGAAGCCTGAGTCGCTAACTGCGCACCTACTATGTGCCAGGACTGTGCCAGCTGGCAGATCCAAGGGTTCCCAGGAAACCTGGCTGGGGAGTGGTGGCCAGCGGCCTGCTGGGCCGGCTGAGCAGGCAGCCACCATACTTGCTTACAAAGTAGACCTGGACACGAGCCCAGTGGCTTGTGCCCAAGCTCAGGGCAGCCCTGGGACCCCTCACACCACACCGGGGCACACAGATGTCACCCCCTCTTCCCCGGTGTCACCGGGATGACTGACACAGCAGCTGGCTGAGAAGGGGACCCACTAACTTCCTTTTGTCCCAGTTGGCCCCTTGCAAGGCCTCAACTACAGGTCCCTGTAAGGGACACACAGGTCCACCCTGAGAATGCACAGCAGGTGAGCTCCCTCCATTGAGGCTGACCTCTCTAAAAGCTCAGTGACCCCTCCAGAGGACAGAGTCAGGGGGACAGAGTCAGGGGGGTGTCCATGGCTCAGGGTGGCCACTCAGCTTCTGGTACCCCCGATACCCCAAAGGCACAGAAGCATCCTCCAAACACTGAGCAAGGGGTCAGGGCTGTCCACACTCCAGGATCAGAAAGCCCGCAGCTCAGCTGGTCTCAGCCACCCAGGCGGCTCTGCCAGTACCCAGAGCTGGGCACAAGCTGTGCCCGGCAGGATGCCCACTTTTCTTTGGCCAGTGCTGCACAGCCGGCCACCAAAGGCTACTCTGACCTCTGGCTCTTCCAGCCAGCCAGTCCTGCTCCATCCCTCACCATGGGGGCTCAGCATCACTGCAAGAGACACCAGAGTGAGACCACCACTTGGTGGGCGGGGCTAAGCAGTTGAAGGAGGGGCTGTGGGCCACAGTTGGCTGTGTGTGTGTGGGGGGGGGAGGTGAAGTACAGCAGCCTCAGCTTCCCTGAGGGTCCTCAGGCTGAGCCACCTGGCTTGCAGTGCAGCTCTGTGGTGGTGACTCAGAGTCAGACGCTGGGAAGGACTGCCAAGATGAGGGCAGGACCTGAGGTTACAAGTCTCTGGTCTCTAATTAGGGACTAATTAAGTGCTCCACAGGGCAGCCATTAGGAAGTACATGTAAGGATTCATCATACCCTAAGCCACTGGGAGACCTCTGATGATTAAAAAAAAGAAGTGATCTGATCCTACCAGGGCACTGCATGAACCAGGGAGCATGTTCTCACTGGGCGTCAGAGGAAAACCCACCATGTGTGGATTTCTAGGTTTACTGTGTCGCTCTGGAAGCCGGGAGCCTGCTGTGCTTTGGTGGCTGAGGCCAGCCCTGAGGGGAAGGGGGAGGAGCGACAGAGCAAGAAGGGGCCAGAGGCCAGGGATGCCGTGGCCCCGCCCTGGGACCCTCACTCCCAGACCTGGCCGGAGCTCCACCCATTCAGTCTCTACAAACATGCCCACGTCTGCAAACGCTAAAACAAACATCAGAGGAGGGTGCTGGGACTCACTGTCACACTGGAGCTGGACGTCACCTACCCCAAGCCGAGCCCACGGTGGTTCCTACAACGCCAACCCGGCTGGCACAGGAGGAGCGGCTGGGCTGGGTACCCGTGAGCACGGCAGCGCTGGAGTTCAAGGGGGCCAGGAGGACGGGGAAGCTGCCAGGGCTGACAGCCTGCCCTCACCAGCAGGGGCCACCCGCCAACATCCGCCCAATAGAGGGGCAAAACCACAGCACCACCCCACCCCACCCCTGCCAGCCTGCCGCCAGCGTGCCAGCCACGCCAGTCAACGCCAGGCACCCAACAAGAAGTTGGGGGAGCTTGGGCAGCACCCCTTCCCCCCACCATGGCCTCAGTGCTCTGTTACTTTTCAGTTTAGGCCTCAGGGTTTTCGCAGCCGGGATTACATACACAAGCCACCGCACCTGGCTTGTGATTTGAGACGGGCCCTCACTAAACTTTTGTTGCTCAGGCTAGCTGCAATCAGGGTAGCACCCAACCTTTGTCTCCCAAGAGGCTGGGATTACAGGCATGAGCCACTGCGCCTGACCTGAGGCTTACAAGTCTCTTTGGAGCTAACTCTGCAGTCCTGTTCTCATTCCCTCTTTCCCGGGAGCACTGTAGGTGAGTGTGTGAGGACGCCCCACGCCAGCTCTTCCTAGGACGTCACACCCTCAGATCTGAGGGCAATTACACGTGCCCTGCCGTGCTCAGAGGCCCTGCATTCTCCACAGTCTGTGGACACTTGCCTGGTCTTGTCCATGTCAGCTCTGTCCTACCCAGAACTGGAGGACAGATGAGTAAAGCCACCCAGCCCGGAGGGCTCGGGCACCGGGTGGAGACAATGCAGGCTGCTCCCGCCAGCTGCCAGTGCTGCGTCCACCGCACCAGGAAGCCACGGCCGACTGATGGGCACCCGTGGCCCTCTCCTCTCGGCTTTAACACAAGGACACAGGCACCCACCCCGGGAACACGTCCTGCGTGCCAGGTGACAGTCCCAGGGACCTGGGTAGAGACCGGCAAGCGGCAGGATCACCTGGGACCTCACCATCCAGCCCATCCCAGGGCCCTGGATGTGCGGGTCAGCGCCCCCAGCACCCCCCCCGTGCCCACGAGAGGCCCCTCCAGGGCCAGAACAGGGCGCCCCTGCCATGCCCACCCACAGCTCCCTCTTGTACCAACTTGGCCAAGCTGATGGTCCCTCCCATTTTCCAGAGGTGGGGACTGAGGCTCCTCTTGGCTCCGGCTTGCGAGCTCTGGTCTCTGCATGGGCATCTGCCGCGTCCCCTGCCTGCTCAGCCACTCTGCAGGTCCTAGGTGCTTGGAGCGAGGAGGGGACGGACAGGCCGAGTGGGCTGGCATCCAAGTGCTGCCAGCCAAGGCTCTGTGCCCACTAATGTGCACTCAGGCAGGGCATCGGGCAGGCCTGTCCACGGCGCATGGACAGGTGCCACCGGGAAGTGGGCAGGCACTGGAGGCTTGGGACTGGGGGAGAGGGGTCTGTATACGCCAGCCTCAGTTTCCTCCCTTGGAAAACAGCTCCCACCACCTGCTGCTGAGGGGGACTCTGAGTACCGAGGGGCAGGGCAGTCCCCAGACAACAGCGCCCCCAACCGGGCCTTCCTCAGGCCGGGGCTGCGGGACCACAGCTGGCCCTCTGCGTGTGCCCCACCTTTCCCTCCCAGCACTCAGGGCCTCCCAGTGCTCTGAGGTGGGACTCCTTTCGTGCTCATGATACCCACAACTTCCTGCCTCCGCCCACTCCCAGAGCCCACATTCCCAGGCAGTGCCAACGTGCAGTGGGGTGTGATGGGCCCTCTG